GATTTCAGGTCTATAATAAAAATGTGTTTCTTAAAATTTCCTTTTAAAATTTCTTTACCTGCTCCATCTACAGGTCTATTAATCGTAAGGATTTAGTGGACTATATTACTACCCATTATAAGGGGCCGCGAATGGTGCTTGCTGCTGCTGGAGGTCGGTTGATTTAATGGTTGTTTGGGTTCCAACAGTTGGAGTGATGTGCACGGTCAGTTTGATCCTGGTTGGGCAGGTGTCCTAAGACACTCTTATAGAACAGATTGCATTTCTCTAGAGGGAATGTGGGGCACTGGACAAAGACTTTGCTCCTTTTTAATGGCCTTCATTTACAGAAAAATTTAATGAACTAGTCACCAAATGAGTATATAACTGCAGTGGAGCTTACTGTAAAGATTTACGTTTACTCAAAAGGCAGAGAATGAGAGACCCAGAGAAAGGACTTCCACATGCAGGCTCGCTCCCCAAATGGCCCAGTGGCCGGAGCTGAGTCGATCTGAAGCCAGGAGCATGCTCTGGGTCTCCCACACGGGTGCAGGGTCCCAAGGCTTTGGGCCGTCCTCGACTGCTTTTCCAGGCCACATGCTGGAAGGGAAGCAGAGTAGCTGGGATACTTACTAACCAATGCCCACATAGGATCCCAGTGGATGCAAAGCAAGGATTTAGCCACTAGGCTATTGCGCTGGGCCCTTATACGGCTACTTTCCAGCTGGGAACACATTGCTGTCTTCAAAATGTTCTCCATGTTCCAACAGCAGCCAGGTAACGGCCAGACCAAAGCCAGGAGCTGGGCCTTCCCATCTCGGTCTCCCCCATTGCTGCTAGGGAGCCGAGTACTTGGGCCTGCACCTGCTGCCTTCTCCAGCTGCGCATTGGCTCTGCAGCAGAGCTGGACATGGAGCTGAGGCCCAGGCACTGACGGGGGCTGTGGGTGACCTGAGCTGCCGTGGGACAGTACCCTGCAGCTCCGGCCAGCTGCAACCCTGGCCCGTACTAACAGTGAGCGTGCGGTGAGGGCTTCCTCCTACACGGCCTCTAGTGAGCAGTCCGTGCGTCTGTCACGCCACTCAGTGGACTAGAACGGGTTATTCACAGTTAGTGTTCTCACAGACTGTCCTGTCGCTAACGCGTCTGATATTTCCCTTCTATTTAGGTGTCTCCCACGATGAGCTGCTGGAGTTGGCCAAGTTCCATTTCGGTGACTCGCTGTGCACACACATGGGAGATGTACCAGCCCTGCCTCCCTGCAAATTCACAGGAAGTGAGGTAGGGCAAGCCTTGCACCCAGCATTTCCCTTGCCTTTAAAAAGATAATGTGCTGGGCATGGTGCGATAGCATAGTGGCTAAATCCTCACCTTGTGTCTGCTGGAATCTCCTGCGGTCGCCACTTCGTGTCTAGCTGTTCCACTTCCCATCCAGCTCTGTTTGTGGCCTGAGAAAGCAGAAGAGGATGGCCCAAAGTGGCCACAGTGGTCAGGTCTGAAGCCAGGAGCCAGGAGCTTCGTCAGGATCTCCCACACGGGTGCAGTGTCCCAAGGCTTTGGGCCGTCCTCGACTTTTCCCAGGCCACAAGCAGGGAGCTGGATGGGAAGTGGGGCAGCTGAGACACGAACTGGTGGTCTGTAAGGGTTGCTATGCCTGGAGATAGAGGATTAGCCAGTTGAGCCACTGTGGCTTCTTCTTCTTCTTTTTTTTTTTTAAAGATTTATTAGAAATTTTCCAAAAATATCTGGACCAGTGGACACGGTTGCCTACATTCCTTCCCATCCTGTGTTAGTTAAGCACCTGTCTTTCTTTCTCCCCCAAGAAACCTTGGTTTTAAAAGCAGTGCCATAACTTGGTGTTTTTTGTAGTTTTCTTTGGCTGGCTGCCCTCTGTGTAGAAAGGTGTGTGACAATAATCCTGTTCTCAAAGGTTCCAGTTGGAACTTTCCTATCAGGGTTTATTTGACTAAGTTCTGCCCACAGTACATCCTGGGGGGTAGCTACAGCTTCAGGCCTAGGGGCGGCTTGGTTCTCCACTGAAGGATGCTGCTCCAGGTAGCACGTGGGACGAGGTTGGAGGTTGGCAGCTCCATGGAAGCATAGCATGACCACTAAAACCAGTAGCGCCAACTTGAGTATCCAGGTGCAAAGATTAGCTCACGCCGGTGGACTTTGCAATCTGTTTTGAGCAGGTAAATGACCCCTTGGCCATCTGTAATATTTTACTTTGAGATCTTTTGGTCCGAGTAAGTTTTCCTTAATTCATGAAATTCTTCGAGAGAAAAGCACAGCCCAGTTACACACCAGTCATGCTGTGCCACTGTCCCCTCGAGCTTCCGGCACTGGCAGTCTTGTTGCGGTGCGGCGCGTCCGTCATGGCAGTCTTGACTCACAGGCTGTTCCTTGCTCACTAGATCCGCGTGCAGGATGACAAGATGCCGCTGGCACACCTGGCCATAGCCGTGGAAGCTGTTGGCTGGGCACACCCGGACACGATCTGCCTCATGGTGGCCAACACTCTGATTGGCAACTGGGACCGCTCTTTTGGAGGGGGAATGGTACGTCAGCTTGCCAGTAACCTTCTCTTGTACGCGGGAGGGGAGTGAGCTTTCCAAGTACAAATTCTTCAGCAGAATCTCCCACTCAGATTTCGCGACAGAATGGCAGCTTTGTGCTGTTACTCTTCACTTTGAAAATACAAACCGATCTTGCCTGTTTTTTTTTCTTTGCCACAAATCAGTGTGATCACAGGTGAAACGTTAAGGACAGAATTAGTTACTATTGACCTTAGTTGCCGATTGTTACTGTAGTATTATGGTTATTAATATGGTTGATAAAATCATAGTTCACACTACTGTATTGCTGCTATCATTGCTAGTCTTCATAGTGGTGCTGAGGTGATGTCAAAATTAATTTGCTGTTTCTCGGGAGTACATCAAACTGGACAAGCGCAGTAGGTTCCACAGGGTGGCTGCTGTGTTACGTAGTTATGAATTTCTGCAGGGATGCACTGAGCCAGATGAGCATTTTGTGTAATTATTTACTTGAACGGCAGACTGACAGGAGACACGAGGGGAAATCTGTCCACTGGTGTCATGTCAGAATGGCTGTCACAGCCAGGCCACAGCCAGGAGCCCGAGCTCCGTCTGGTCTCCCACATGAGCACCAGTGGCCAGAGTACTTCCAGCTGCTCTCCCAGCTCATCAGTGGGGAGCTGGGTTGGCCGGGTAACAGCTGCCACATGAGCCAGGGGGCACAGGGGACGCGGACGTGGAGGCAGGGCCTGACCAGCCGTGCCCCAGGCCATCTCAGGCCCCCGAGCCTGTCACTTCCTGCCACGTGGACAAGGTAGTTTGGATACAGGGAGAGCCCGTTTGACTGGACCACTTTTTCCCCCTTACAGAATTTATCTAGCAAGCTGGCCCAGCTCACGTGTCACGGCAACCTGTGCCACAGCTTCCAATCCTTCAACACTTCCTACACGGACACAGGGCTGTGGGGCCTGTACACGGTCTGCGAACCAGCCACGGTTGCAGAGATGCTGCGTGTTGTTCAGAAGGAATGGTGAGAGAACAGTTCAGTCCCGCGCAGGCTTAGTGCTTCAGCCCTGCTTCTTTGTACCCTACGGTGATGATTCGTGGCAGGGACAGACACACAGAGGGCTTCCGCAGACAGGCACGAGCCCTCATCCACGGCCACCGCCTCCAGCGACTGCAGCAGTCAGGGCTGGAAACTGCACATTTAGTAGAAACCTAGGGACTCGAACCGGCACTGCTGGGAAGCGTGACTGTTCGGTGGCTTCCGTCGCCAAGGCCAGCCAGCCGAGATGCGTCACTCCAAGGTTTAAGATTTGGCAGGTGGCCTGTGGGCCACTCGGTGTGTGTCCAGAACTGGCCGAGTCTCAAGATAATCAAGTATTTCTCAAATTGTGGGCAGTCTGTTCTTAAACCTTCATCTACTGTTGATTAGTCACACACACAAAACGTATAAACATATAAATTTTTTGAGAAGTTTGGCAATACCAGAATAAATATTATTACTTTAGCTTTTATGGGATTAGTAGCTTAACCTTTCACCAAGTTGAAATCGTTATCATTCATGTTGTATGAGAACTTGTATTAGGACATTGTGCCTTTGTTTAGAAAGTTTTCATGAAACTACCTGGCGATAGCAGTTTTGCAAATGTTTTCAGGATGCGACTCTGTACAAGCGTTACCGAGAGCGAAGTGTCCCGGGCCAAAAACCTTCTGAAGACCAACATGCTACTGCAGCTGGACGGTAAGGACATCTGGACGGAGGGGCGGGCCGGACGGTAGGGGCGGGCTGGACACAGGGGCGGCTGGACGGAGGGGCGGGCTGGACACAGGGGCGGCTGGACGGAGGGGCGGGCCGGACACAGGGGCGGCTGGACGGTAAGGGCAGCGAGTGGAGCTCTACTTTCGTCTGGCTCATCTACAAGCTGCTGCTCACTTTTTTCTTTAAACAGGTTCAACTCCAATTTGTGAAGATATCGGTAGGCAAATGTTATGTTACAATAGAAGAATTCCTATCCCCGAGCTTGAAGCAAGAATTGATGTAAGTAATGCTGGGCTCACTGAATGCTCAGGAAAGATGCTTTGATCTATACGTGTCCTACCGCTTGTTCTAGAGTTCCAGTTACAGAGTGTGTCTCTGCTTCCAGGCTGTGAGCGCCGAGACAGTCCGAGCAGTGTGCACCAAATACATTTACGACAAGAGCCCAGCCATTGCGGCAGTCGGTGAGTCAGGTTCCTGTTTGCAGAAAGGGCGCCAGAGCGCTTTTCCTCCGACTCGGTTGTAATTGTGTTGTTTTGTTTTCAATCTGTAGGTCCCATTGAGCAACTACCAGATTTTAATCAGATTCGTAGTAACATGTGCTGGCCTCATCATTAAACTACTCCTAAATGAAGACTTGTTTAGAAAGAGACCTGCATATTTTTATCTATCCCCAACCACAAAAATAAAACTTACTATCTCACAAAAGACTACCACCCTGCAGAGAACTTGTATAGTATTTTTGCTTTTATTATAAAAATGCACACACAACAAAGATTGTCAGTCCGTCACTTCTTGGCTCTGCCTGCGTTCAGCACCTGCTCCTGAGCAGCCTTCTTTGCTTTCACCATCTCGACAAGTTCCTAAAAGGAGAAGAAAAGTGGCGTTTCAATCAGGAATTCGATTTGAAAACAGGTAAATAAAGCCAGTGTTAGCAAAATTCCCTGAAATCACGTATTTACAATAAGCTCCTAGGGCTTTTAGAAAGTTTCCAAAGTTTGTCATTCCTCTTAATAATTCCGGCTCCTGGCCCCATAACTACCAAGACACGGAAATAACAAAAGACACATTTTCCAATTAATAGACAATCCAAGTGCCAGCTACAGAGAAGTCACTGTGTAAGATAACGGAATCTAGGCGCTCAGGTCGCCAACCTTGTATCGTTTCATGCAGTCCTTCTTCGTCCTGCCAGGGACTGCTTCTGCTATTTTTTCCCACCTTTCAGGCGTGTTTACTGGGTAGGTCTTCAAAGCCTGTTCCAGAAGCTTCTGTTCTTCCGTTGTCCAAGGGGTGAAGCCTGTGCATGGACCTGTGGAGGAAGAGTTTGTACTTGGAAGCTTTGTCCTGGCTCTCGGCACGCTTCACTGAGGAGCCGTTTTGTGCACAGGTGGATCTTGGTGATAAAGTACCCATTTCCATAAGGGACATCTGATACCCACAGAACATTCTAGGAAACCTCTGTGTTACTGGGAGAGAGAGGAAAAGAAACTTGAAATAGGAGACATCCCCCAAGTATTTCAGAGGCTTTTTTGTTGCTGTTCTAGTACAATCCATTCTGTTCTTACCTGACCTTTTTTCATGCCCTAATGACATTTAAAGGCACAGCTCCATTGGACTAATAACTTATAAAGATTTCTGCGAAGTTGGTTCCCTACAGGCTGGGGAACAGAGCTGCCTCACAGAGCAAAGTCTATGCTGATGGCTCACTGGGAGCCATCCTTGTTTACCACTGGCAGGAGGCTTTGCAGCGCTAGGCCAGGTGCAGTGTTTAACCCACTGTGTGGGGTCACTGCTGAACTCGGTAGCAGTTCCTGCAGGTGGTGTTTCAGCCAAACGTTTGTATCAAAACATAATGCAAGTTTCAGAAGCAAAGACACTTGGCTCCTTAAGGATGCAGCATTTATCACTACTTCTGTAGGTTAACATGTTAAGCAGTGAAAGGCTGATTTGAATATACTAACAGATGAATTACTTCAGACCATGCAATAAATATGCAGTAGCGATAATGTATATTAAAATTACTTTCCTAAAAAGAAAAAAAGGAGGACCTCCTTCAAAACAAGCCACAGAACTCGTGTCTATTTGAAGGCAGACTGGGAGCCCTGCATTCCAGGGAGCCCTCTTACGGTCTAAAACCCCTCAACATAAAAACAGCCAAGCTAACGCCTTGCTCCAACGCTCTGCTACAGCAGAATGACTTTGGCCCTCCACGGTGGGCACCTGTCTGCTAGCTGAAATTTGCTTATAATAATCTAGACCAGGAGTGCTAAAGCTGGGCCTGTCACAAAACAGACAGCTTATCATGTAGTCAGCCACAAGTCCAAGAACACCATGGGGGCTGATCTGCAAGCCATGCCTGAAAGTGGTTCAAGGAAGCGAACCCTGATGGTCTTAATAAGACCCTCTAACAGGGACCTACAGGGAACAAGATAAGCACAGCCCTTTGTCCAGTGGCACCTGACCTGCAGGAGTGATGGCTAGCTGGGTGAGTCTGCTCGTCTGGACAGGCCTTGTCAGCACACACGGCTCAGCCCGCCTCTCCGCCAGAGAAACACAGGTCAGTTACCTTCAAACCGCTCCGAAGGGGTGGCGTTGTCTGCTTGAGGCACCACTCCGTGTTCTTTCTTAAATTTATCAAAAGCCTTTTTGTTTATGTCATCTTTTTGATGAGGATCTAAGAAATGAAAAAAAAAAATTAATATGTAACAGACCATCTCATGCGGTCTTTCCTTAGTTGCGTTACTTTAAAAATGTCTTGGAGATAAGGTCAAAACCAACCCACCAAGTTTTTGGAGACTCTTTGCTTTGCTAATAACATCTTTGGCAGTTCTTTTGACTCCCGAAGAAGAATGTATGTTCATGTAGTTGGCGATGACTTCCCATCTAGAGCGACCGACAGTCATTTCATAGTAGGAAGGAAAATCAAAAGTCAGTACATTTTTACCACGGACAGGTAACAATGTCTGTGCTCTAAATTAGTGGTCTAATTTTGCTACTATAAATTACTATTCTGGACAATTTTTGCTTTTCATGCATATAAGTCAACTATACATCACTTTATATAACTTGGTATTAGTTTGTGTAAAACCTGACACAGTTTTGTACAAATTAGCAGAAATAAAGCCATACACGCACACTGGGAATGTTAAAACACAGATAAGTTCACTTGGGTGCAGTAGTTTGGAAACCCATTCCACCCTTTTATGCTGGAATTTCAAAATTGGTTTACCAAAATGAATCCATTAATTCCATTTTTCACAAACCTTTCAAAGTGCCATGGCACCTGAGAAAACAGATTCTGAAAAGCACCTTACACTCGCCATGAGCAGAATGAGAGGCCATCTCCCCCAAGCTTTTTGAGGAGCTCCAGCTGGCATGCAGCAGAGAGCGAGAACAGGAAAGGGAGCTACGGTTCACGAAACCCAGCAGCAGGTTCGGTGGACTTGGCCAACGCGCCGTCCACCGCTCCCACCTCGGTAGTTACACGTGCATGTCTGCTGATGGAGTGCAAGACTGGCAAGTATAGCTCACATGGGCTTCACCTCCACGGCACAGGGTCTGGTGCAAAGCCCATCTGTGAAGGTCCTGCTGTGACCGGTGCGTACTGAGAAGACGCATCCTGAACACCAGTACCTTGAATTTGTCCCGGCAGGGAAGAGGTTCACCGCCTTGATGAGCAGTTGCAGGTCGTCCTCCGACCAGTTTCTGCTGCCACTCCCGCCTCCGCCAGCCGACTTCTCTGCATTCTTGGATGCCTGTCGCATTCGAGCCTCAGCTTCTTCCTTCTCTTTTCTAATCTGCTCGTTTATTTCTTCTATCTACACAAACACCACACGTCAGTCAGGGACTCGGGCCTTGCAGCCTGCGGCTTGTGGTCCTCAGCTGTGTCATTTTCACTCCGACTGCCTCCTGCCAGGCTGTCCCCCGCCCCATGGTGGCATCTGCTTTTCACTCTGGCTTCCAGCTGGCCCAGGCTGAGGAAGCAGAACCAACCAGTAGCCTGCCCCACCTGGAAGCTCTGTAGTCCCTGGGCCACTCACACACAAGGCCATTTCAAACATGTACGCTCATATGCCTTGGACCAAGAGTAATCTTACTCTTTCCAAAAAAGCAAATGGTACAGCAAAAAGATCTGTTTTTCCTTCAGGTTCTACCCTTTACACCTATGCTTCTAGTCTATTTCACAATTCATGACAAGAAAAAAAAAACCACCTTCACTTGATGTTCCTGCCTCACTCAACTGCGATCAAGGCACTGTCTTAGAATCCTTTCTCCCCTTCACGCCCCAGGTGAGTCAGCAGGGCCGTGGAACGCCAACTGTGAAGTTCTCCCAATTCCACCATGACTTTAACAGTCCAGACAGTGTCAATTTCTAACTAATCACTTTGCATCTTCGGCTACGTACTGCCCACAGATGCCAGGTTAACAGTATCATGTTGAAGTCTCTGACTTGCAGAGCTGCAGTAATGGAACTGTACTATTACACAACCCCTCAATTTCACTTTGTTCTTCTCAATCAACTTCGTTTCCCGATCCTCTAGAGTTTGTTTTATGACTTGTTTAATTGATGGCTACGGTGGTAACAGTTTTTCCATTTGCTGGTTTACCACTCAGATGGCCACAATGACTAGGTCTGGACCAAACCAAACCCAGGGGCCTAGAACTCTGTTGGGGTCTCCACGGGAAAGGGACCAAGCAGTCGGACCATCTGCTGCTGCTGTCCGTCAGCAGGGAGCTGGGTTGGAAGTAGAGCAGCTGGGACTGAAACCAGCACTCACACAGGATGTCGGCCTCGTAGGCCACGGTTCAACCTGCTGTGCAACACCACCAACCCCTGCTCCATAGTTTTATGGTTCTTGCTGTTTCCCAACCTTGAGTTTAAACACGGTCTTCCAAGGCCAGTTTAAATCTTTCACTGAGCCAACCCGACCACTCACATGCAGACCCAGAACATTCCATCTAGCCAACGGCATTCACTTGCTGGAGCCCTGCATCTTTCCCAGGAGGCCGTTCAGCGTAACTCCTGCTGAACAGTGAGGCTCAATGCATCAGGCACTTCTCCAAGAGCTTTGTTCTAGGGAGCAGATACTCAAATCTGTCCAACTGAAGGCCTGTGCAAATACTGAAGGAATACTTAATGTGCTAACACAAATGCTAAGCGTGATAAACATACACCACTGGTCCCACTTAACACTAAACAGAATGCTCCCTCTTTGCCCTTAGCAACTGTATCAGGCAGTGCAACATCACGCCGGGAGGCTGAGAGCCGACTGACTGCTAGGAGAGGCAGAGAGACACTCCCTGTACCTGCTTCTCGAGAGCTGCTTTCCCCTCTTCCTTTGTACAGGACGTGAGCGTTTCATTCAGGCACTGTAAGCTACGGAGGAAATGAGACAGAACAACAAGACAAAGGATGAAACTACTGCTGAGCCCAGAAGATTTCAGCAGGAGTCCTGAGGATATCCACCCACCTTGCTAGTTCCAGCCGATCGCAGAGTTTCTCCACTTCTTCCATCATCTTAACGCGCTCCGCCTCGTTGTCGGAAAAGTGATTCCAGGTCTGGAAGCACAACACGTGACATTTCATCTTGGATCTTCTCCCTCAAAAATGCACCTGACAGAATTCTAGAACCTGCGCTCCTCCAGGAGGTAAGAGAGGTGTCTGCCTGGGCAGCAGGGCCTACACACTTGGGACTTCCCTCCGCAGGCGCATCAGCACAGGGCTGGACTGGAAGCAGAGAGGAAGGGCTTAGAACCGGGGGCTCAGTCATGGATGCCAGCGTCCCAGGCTGCGCTCAACCCACTGTGCTGCAGTGCAGGCGCCTGACGTCCATCTGTGCTTCCCATGTGGGCAGCAGGGCCCCACCTGCCTGAGCCATGTACTGCTCCCCACGGTGCACACCAGCCAGAAGCTAGGTGGAAAGCAGAGCCAGGACCCCAAGGAAACGGGATGCGGGCAGCCCCAGATGCCCGCCCACGGCTGAACTTGACAAGATGGCACAATCCAAAGGGAGATATTAGCAGACATTCTTGTTTCATTCCTTAAGCAGCCAAGGTGACAAGGCTGGGCCAAGGACGACACTGAGCACGTCACGTGGATCTCCCAAGTGTGCAGAGACTACACACGTGGGTCAGCTGCTGCTGCTTTCCCAGGTGCGCTAGCAGTGAGCCTGACAGTGCGTGGAACAGCAAAGACCTGAACTGGTGCCCAGAGGAGACACTGGCATTGCAGATGGCAGCTTAACGTGCAGCACCACAACGCCGGCCACGCTCCAATGCTGCCTTTACCATAAAAGTTTCTCCAGGCTTTGAAAGCACTGTTGGCTTTCTTCCTGTGTGTGTGGTCACTCCTCTGTTGGCACCTTAAGCACTAGGTCGTCAGGGTCCTTCTCTACATGCCCGTCCCTAGCCACGGAGTGCTGATCTAATCACAGGTTTGTGGCCTGGTGCCATTACGACGTGGACGAGCAGCGAAATATTTTGTTGTAAGACATGTAGGAAGCATTCACATACTTGCTGAGTTGAACTACGATGATAAAACACAGTGTTCTCTGAGTGGCAATGTATATTTTAAACTTCACTCATTCTTTGATTTAATGCCATTTAATAAGGAACAATACTGTTCTCTGAATCTACCAGTTTAAAATGTAAGAACATCTCTTGGACAAAGTTACATTTCCAAACTTTTGGGGTATTTGAAAATTACTAGCACTCACCAAAATGACAAACATTTCCTTAAGTAAAAATGAGGTCTTTTCAGTTCCTAAAAATGAATAACTTTGAAATCTTTCTAAAATGAAAATTCATTTTCCACTGTTAGGAAGCAAATAGTAAAACCAAATTGTGGGGCTGGCATCGTGGCTCAACGGGCTAACCCTCTCCCTTCAAGCACCGGATCCTATATGGGTGCTGTTTTTAGTACTGGCTGTTCCACTCCACTGTCCTGGGCTTGTGGCCTCAGAAAACAGCAGAGAATGGCCCATGTGCTTGGAACCCTGCACGTGCATGGGAGACCTGGAAGAATTCAAGCTTCAGGTTGGCTCAGCTTGAGCTGCTGTGGCCGTTTGGGGACTGAATCAGCAGATGGAAAATCTTTCTGTGTGTCTCTCCTTCTCCCTGTAAACCCACCTTTCAAATAAAAATAAATCTTTACAAAGCAAAAAACACAAGGCACCAGTGGGCTGGTGTCTCCAACAAATCACTGGCCAAGGGGGCTGCTGGCCTGGGACAGAAGCACAGGGAGAGGGGGAGACCCACAGGGGACGGGGAGAGCTCCCTGCAGTCCGTGTGCCGAGCGTACCTGCGTCCCAACCAGAGAAAGCAAGCACAAAGACACTGCTGGGACAGGGACGTGGAAGCACAGACTTGAGTATCGGGATATAAATGCCGACTGAATACTGATCTGGGTTGGTCAGTTCAGCAAAAGTTACTTTAAAAGCACATTTGCATTTGAGGTGAAACGCATGCACCTGTTTCCTGATGTGTGCACAGCGACGTACCTTGCACGAGTTTCGAAGCTTCTGCCGTTCCTTTTTGATGGCTTTTTTTTGGATCTCTTTCTCCTTCTTTGCCAACAATGCTTGTTGCCGGACTTCTTCCTCTTCCTTCTCCTTAGCTAACCGGGCAGCCTCTAATTCAGCTTGTCTTTGCTTTAAAAAAATAAGGAGTAGGAGTAAAATCATTTCCAGAAGAAAAGCAGACTTTCCCAATGCTGCATCATTTGACTCAGAAAAGGCAATGTTTTAAAAAGTTAAGTTGGAGGAGAACAATGCCATGAGCCGCTGGACCCTGAAGGCCGACCTGGGAAAGGCAGCTCACTGTTTTACAACACATGCTGGACAATGCAAAACAGACATGCCAGAACTCAGCATGGTATTAGAGACATGGGTGGGAAATGACGTTTTTCCACAGTAAGAATCGGTGGGAAGGAGGCTCTGATTGAATGAATCAGCTGTCAGGATGTGTTCCCGTAACACCCACATTGTAAGTTTGGAGAAGCAGATGCAAAGTTGAAAGCCTTTGAACATTTGAAGTCCAACTTGAGCAATTATCATCTTACTTTTTCCTTAGCGTCTTGCTCCTTCCGTTTTGCTTCTGCCTTTGCTCTCTTCTCTGCTTCTTTCTTGGCTTTTTCCTCTTCCTTGAATTTTTTTATCCTGGGGTCACAGCTATACGCATTGTCTACCAAGAGAAGTTCAGCCCGTCAGTCTCTAACATATAACTAAGGAACTGGAAAACAAACAGCCATGGTGAGTATACCAACCAACCAACGTTCGTATTCTGTTCATTTCTTCTTTTTTTCTTTGTGCCCTGGTTGCTCTGTTCTGCTTTTCAATCCATCTCCTCTCATCACGACTAGAAAACAGAAAATACGAACGATAAGCAAACTGTGGATAGAACATATTCTTGGAAAGCACAAGACTTTACACACTTTGTGTGCACAAGGCTAAGATGCTGCGCCGTTCCTCCTGGCAGAGTGGTGGCATCGGGTGTTCTTGGCTAATGCTCGGGATACTGCTGAAGAACCCCTCTCCTCACAGCGAGAACAAAATCAAACCCAGGTCAAGCAGTGGCAGGAGAGAGAACTTGCTGAACGAACAGTCATACTTCCTTCTTAAGCAGACGCCACCCAGTAACTTTTTGGCCTCATCTGGCTTAACTTCTGACATTCCACAATACCAAGTGTCAGCAAACTCATTAAGAAAAAAATACGTACAAAGAAAATACAAAAGGAAACACGTGGCATCAAAGAAGCAAATCAACAATTTCATGTCTGGGTGCGACTCACACATACCATTCCGCCTTTTCCTTTTCTTCTTCGTCTAGATAAGAGAATTCTCTCCAAGAATCAAAATTATACCTAGTTTAGACAGAAATGAAACCAAGACAAAAAGTTGGAGAAAAACAAAACGTGAAGAGGCAACGATGACAAGCACCCGGGTAGGCTTTAGGGGGTTGCCCTCCCCTCCTTTTTGGTACTGGACTCTCGGATTAAGCTCTCTTGAACCGCCCCACGCCCTTCACCCTTTCAATGAAACTGCATTTGGTATGCAAGTTTTCCCACCTTCATCTTTGCTAGTCTGTCACTGTCAAGCCACAAGGTCACTGGAGGAGTGATCAGGTAAGAGTAACTACTGCACAGCTGACAGAACCAACTCTTATTTCTGTTTCACAGTGGTAAGAATGCTTTCATATTTACAGGAGATTGAATGAGAAGACGCAGCACATACAATGTCTGGTAAATACTCAACTTTTGATAGTGTGCTTGACATGACAGCCATCTTTATTAACAGAAAACAGAAGGGGAAAAAATCATAGAAGTTTAACCATCACATAGAAAATGACCAGAATTATGTCAACCCCTTCTTTCATTTTCTTTCACACTGCTTTTGTTCAATGGAATGCCATCCATGCCCTAACTCATGTGACCAAGTGTTCACTGAACATTTCACTCTTAAAAAAATGGCAGCAGAGAAACAGTGGATTCACTTACCAGAAAGAATAAAATGCATCTACATCTTCAAACGAGGAATTCATGTCACCAAGTTTAGGGACATTTTTTTTATTTGACCATCTGAAATATTAAAAGCAAAATTCAGCTCACAAGCCCCTTTTTTCCTTATTTATTTTAAAACATTTACTCATTTTTACTGGAGAGGCAGATTTATAGAGAAGGAGATAGATCTTCTATCTGTTGTATTTGCCCCCTAAAAACCCCAATGGCCAGAGCTGAGCCAATCCCAAGTTTCCTCTGGGTCTCCCACGTGGGTGCAGAGACGCCCTAGCATTTGGACCATCCCCCACTGCTTTTCCAGGCCATGAGCAGGAAGCTGACACCAAAGCTGGCACCATATGGGTTTTGGTGATTGCAGGTGGAGGATCAGGCTGTTGAGCCATGGTGCTGGGCCCTCGAACTGTTTACATCCTATAAGCAAAGCTCTCTGGAGTCCGTGACTATAGATTCTGATCAGGGACCAGCATGGACAGCACAATTGCCTGATCCTCTGCTTACAGCCCTGGCATCCCAAATGGGTGCCAGTTAGTGTCCTGGCTGCTCCACTTCCCATCCAGCTCCCTGCTTGTGGCCTGGGAGAGCAGTCGAGGTCGGCCCAAAGCCTTGGGACCCTGCATGTACGTGGGAGACCCGGAAGCCGCTCTGGGCTCCTGGCTTTGAACTGGCTCAACTCCAGCAGGCGCAGGCATTTGGGGGAGTGAACCAGCAGATAGAAGAAGATCTTTCTTTGTGAATCTGTGTTTCCAATGAAAAGAAATAAATCTTTTTAAAAAAGAAAAGAAACTCTGATCAGAAGAGGAGGTCCTCACTCACCTGGAATTCCTTTCAAACACAGGGGAAAACACTTCAAAGAAATTGTCCTTTGCTTCACTTTTCGAAGGAACAGAGTTATCAAAAGTGGGGTCAATGCTGTTGAACGCTCGTCTTTTCACGGGATCAGACAACATTTCATAAGCTGAGGAAACAAAGGTGCAAGGTCATGGACCATGTCTTCACCCGCCTTTTGTTTTGACCTCCAACAAGACTAATATCCTCCCCTCTTTCAGAATAGTTGTCAAGTTTCTTTCTTTCTTTCTTTTTATTTTAAGTTGTCAAGTTTCACATGTAAATATTTGTGTTTGTGAGGGAGGAAGAATTTAGCTTAAGGAACAGTTTTTGCACTCCTGGATACGCATGTCCTTAACTCCCTTTTACAGCTAAATATTCATCTTTCAGGAAAGTACATGATTCTAGAGAACATGGGATTTCTAGAAATTCACTGTTAGACTTCTGGACTGTGACTGTAAAAGATGGAAGGATGTCAGATTTCCCAAGTGGCCCCAGAAGGGTAAGTCTGAAGGATACACATTTAGGGGAAAAAAAAAAAAATCACAGTCAAGGCAACACTGATGACAACGGCTATGGAAACGGCCATAAATAGTTGTTCTTAATTTATAACTAGCAAAACACGTAACAGCAGCATCGGAAGAGGGAAAAGGTTGGTCCCTGGGCAGGAAAGGCACCCCGGAAGCCTGTTAGATGCTGACTCTGATGGGCAGGGGAGCGAGGGGCCTAGCGTGCATCTCTAACAGCTAGCCACCTGCTGTCTCCTGATGCTGTGGGTGGGGGCGCGACTCTGGGGCTCTGGGGAGAAGACTAAAAATAATCTGATGTAAAATGCATGGGACAGTTGATCCACCCACAGCAGGCAGTCGTAGCAATTCTTTGAGATTCCCAGCTCTCCGCTTACCTTTAGTTATGCAAGTGAAGTAGTCGTTGTCACCTTCTTTGATTGGCTCACCAGCTGCTTTCCGTTTGTCTGGGTGATGTTTTAAAACCATTGCTTTATCTACAAAACAATTCGTCATTTTAGGCAGCAAAATGGAAACTAAAGAGAGACCAAATAGAAACCATTTCTAGCACATCATTTCCAAAATCCTAATGCCACCTAACAGTCCTTCCCTTCTCCACGGATGCGAGAGGTATCCTCTATCAGAGTCAATTTTACCAAGGCTTGCTTCAAACCGAGCCTTGGCCTGGACTATTTTTAAAAATGGGTATGTGTTTTTAATATATCTGATGTCAACTTCTCCAAAGTACTAATTTTTTCACTTTTTTCCTTCATCTAGTCTTAACTCTTTCCCAGTTAACTTCTTTATTACCTACACAAAAATGTATTTCTTGGGCCCAGTGCTGTGATATAGTGGGTAAAGCTGTCTGCAGTACCAGCATCCCATACGGGCACTGGTTCATGTCCCAGCCGCTCCATTTCCAACCCAGCTCCCTGCTTGTGGCCTGGGAAAACAGTTGAGGACAGCCCAAAGCCTTGGGACCCTGCACCCATGTGGGAGACCTGGAAGAAGACTCCAGGCTCCTGGCTCCGGATTGGCTTAGCTAGGACAGAAGATCTTCCTCTCTGTATGTCTGACTTCCAATAACACACACATACACATGCACACACACACACACATTTAACAAGGTGAGAGCTTTTCTGTAGGCTTGGAATACACCACAAGAACTCAAAGGATGTCAAACACTATTGCAGTTAAGTTTTGATTACGTTTGTTGTATCAATAACCACAGACTTCAAACACTAAATGGGCAGTTCTGCTTCTGGACTGAAGTGTGAACACAGTACGTAGGAACCATGTATTTTTATAGTGATGGAGGTAACAGAATGACAACTTCCTTTTGAGTAAACAAACCTGGTGATACAAGCTTTTGGCTGCAGAACAGTCAAAATTAATTTCTATTATGCCAATGAAAATGTGACAGAAGCAAATGTAGGCATCTTTTAGAATTCATTAAGTATCTTAAATATTTACAGGAAGAAATCAAGATTGAGGAATTTATCTTAAAACATCAATTATTTCGATAGAGTTAAAACATTCCTAATTCATAAAATTACGTGTTGGAACACATTTGGTATTGGTATGCTATTTTCTGATAGAATAAGGCTTTGCAAATAGTTTTTCGTGCCAGCTGAACTTTCTGGACATTTATGTATACCACATGACTGTTCATACGCATCTACATGTTTGCCTAAAAAAATCATGGCAACCTTTTAAGAAATCCAATCATGGGTTTAAAATACTATAATAAATTCCTCCACTTTATGAAAAAATATTTCTTATGATTTCCATAAATGTCACCATTAATGGAGAACATTCTGGGTTTATCACTGATACTAAGTCTGAATTAGCATTTTCACCATCAGTTCTTGCTCCGTCACCCTCCCAAGTACACGATTTTATTTTCTCAACTGGTCTGGACTCCCTACTCCCCTTCCAGAAGGCCACCGTTTTACCTCCTCTGACCTCAATATCCATTCTCTCCAGTGGAAGGCAGCACGTCCTCCTAGGATACAACAGGCAAGGAATCACCTCCACCTCTCACACTTCACTCATCGGAAGAATCGACTACAGAAGGAGGTATGCCCATGGGAACGAAAAAGGGTAAGACACGGAGGTTCATCCGGGAGTGGGGTTCTAGAAAGCATATTATGAGTGGGTTCCCAACACTTTTCTCCCCAGATTTTTTTTTTCTAATAGATTTATTTTTTTATTTGAAAGATGGCTCTCTGTGTTCACTTTTGCAGCACATCTGGTAAATTAGGAAAGGTGGAGTTACAGAGGAAGAGAAAGCAAGTGCTTCCATCTGCTGATTCACTCCCCAGTGGCCACAACAGCCAGAGCTGAGCAGATCTGAAGCCAGGAGCCAGGATCTGGGCCTCCCACGTGGGTGCAGGGTCCTAGGACTTAAGCTGTCCTTTGCTCTTGCTTTCCCAGCTGGACAGCAAGTGCAACAGCCAGGACTTGAACCAGTGTCCATTCAGGATGTCTGCACCATAGGCAGAAGCTTAACGTGCTACACCGTGGTGCTGGCCCCATTTCCCCAATTTCTACCATCAACTAAGTCCCAGGATTCCAAACTAGCATGCAAAAGCTCAAACAACCAGGCAGCACCCCCTAACAGCAGCTGCCATACGTTAGGGAGAGGCAAAGCTTGCTGTGGGACTCGCCCACCCTGATCCCTCACCTCAAGAGCTCACACACAAAGCTACAGGGAAAGGTACTCTGTGCTATGGCAGCTAGGAGCAGTTCACACTCTCACACATGCTGTCCCGCTGGCAAAGGATAACATTTCCTGTACCAAACGGCACCACTCACTTGTTGTACAGTCCCCAAGTACTTACGAGCTGCTTTGATCTGTCTCTGGGTAGCTTTATATCTTACGTGGCCAAGACCAAGAACCGCATAATGATCTTGGTTCTGCAAAGGACAAAAAGGCAGCCAAGGTTGAAATGGAGCGATGCGGAACAGATGCTATGCTTTGTGTTCTAGCCCCTCCCTCCCATTCCCCAAATCCCATGTCTCCCCAAGTGACACTTCCGTACTAGGAACGTAGCATGAGGCTTTGTCGGCAGGCAATTTTGGGAAATCTGAACTATTACTTAGCTTTCACAATCATCTGTATGCAAATAAACTTAACACTCCAAGAAATGTGGCAATTAAAAAAAAAATAAACAGAGTCTGCTGCTGCAATCTATCATTTTCCAAATGCACCTGTCAACAGGTACAGCCACCAACATCTAGCACACAGGGAAGGATTACAGCACTCCCCCAGGACGGGCTGGCGCACAGGGGCAGCTTTGGAGGCGTCAGGCAGTTAATGTGGTGGGGGCTGCAGGCTGGGTGGGAACTGTCCAAGAACCCCCCGCCTTCCCGGGATGGGAAGGGCCTGATGGCACATTCTGCTTCGGCCAGGCCAACATCAGAGGGAACTCAGAAGCGGAGGCAGAAAGTGTAGCGAAGGGCTCCTGGCTCCCAGCTGTGCATCAGCTCAGCTCCTGCCAAGTGGGGAATGAACCAGCACATGGAAGAGCTTCGTCTCTCCCTCTCTCTGTGTAACCCCACCTTTCAAACAAAAATAAATTCAGTATTTTTCTGTTGTTACTTGCAAAATGCTTCCAAGTAGTGCTGGGAACGCTCAGGGTTGTTTTTTCTGACTTCTCACCCCTTCCTGGTTACACGCCTTCTGCCACTTGGCCCTGCAGCTTCGGGCTGATTCCAAACTCCCCCCACCTCACAAGGCGTCCACCTTGGAATGCTACTCCTCCCTTATCCACTGCAGGCCATCCACACTCTCCCTTAACTGTCTACCTGACCTACTCGATGCTCAGCTCTTCCATCACCCCCCTCTGCCGGACATTTCCTGCCACATGTTCTTGGTTATGCCCTTGTCTGTCGGCTCACTCAATGATAAGCTTCAAACGAGCAGTGACACGAGGACCCTTCAAAGAGCTCACAGGAAGAATGCTTTGGTGAAAAAAAAATGTTTTTTAAGCTCATGGATTTCTGTAACCTTTTTGGAAGACACCTTATAACGTTTTGTTTAGCACGGTACCTATAAACACTTAGAAGTGTCTGGGTGGCTGGTGGTGGAGCGCTGCAGCTTAAGCTGCCACCTGCAAGTCTGGCATACCATGTCGGAGCCCTGCTCATGTGCCTGGGGACGCAGCAGAGGATGGTCTAAGCAGCCCCCACAAGCCCCATGCTAGATGGATCTGAATTCCTGGTTCCTGCCTGGCCCCAGCCTGGCTCTTGTGGCCATGTGGGGAGTGAATCAGCAGATGCAAGATTTCTGTCACCCACAGTGCCTTCTGTGTCATGGGTGCTTGGTTCCTATTTAATGAGCTGATTAACACAACATGTGCATTACCTTGCCCTGATGCCATCCACTCCTTTCCACACCAATGTCTTCTTCCTCTTCCACATTGTTCTTAACATTCTCAACGCCACCTCCTTAAGCTACTACCCCCTGTGGTTTGTATAACCCAGCTCTGGGAGATGTTTCTACTCCCCTCTTACCACATCACTTCCTAATCTTCCTTCAACTCACTGCCATCTTACGCCTTCCCAATCTTTTTACAAGCACTGCTTTCAGTCACACTTATCTCTTGTTTGCCAAATCCAGTGCCTTGAAATTTTCTCACGCTCTTTGACGGACTTTGATTTAAAACAGCGAAGCTGGAGACTCGGATTCCTTCTGGAGACTTTCTTTCCTCCTTAGTTTCTATAGGAGTGCAGTGCTTGGTGGCCGCTAAAGTTTTGTTGAAATAACAATGGCTTTTGTTTTTTTCAACTTCTTTCAGCCACCCTTTGCTCTGTCTCCTCTTCCAGTCACTTAAACATCCATGTTCTTTAATGTTCATTTTACTCATTAAAAAAAAAAAAATTTTTTTGAGAAACAGAATATGCATGTGCGAAAAAGTATAAGATTGCTCCCAATGGCTAAGTCACCCCACAGATGTCACAACAGCTGGCACTGGGCCTGGAGGAAGCCAGAAACTGAAAATTCACTCCAAACAAACCTGCCACATGCCCAGCAAGGGTCCCAAGTGCTTGAGCCATCACCCGCACTGGTAAGCAGCTGGAATCAGACGTGGGGCAGGGAGTTGATTACAGCACTTGGCTGTGGAATGTGAACTGTCAGGATAACCACCTGCCTCACTTCTTTTAGCTTGAAATTGACAATGCCAATATAAAACTTTTGAGTGCATCTTTAAATAGCTTTACACATGAACCTTCATTTTTTTTTTATCTTGCAAACGCTTTAAGAGATAGAATCCCTATTTTTTAACATTTATCACATATCAAGCACTCAGGGCTTTTAGTTATTTACTTGCAAAGGAGAGATAGAACTATGCCCAAATGTTGATTTCCTCCCCAGATGCCTGCAACAGCTAAGGCTGGGGCCAGGCCAAAGTCCAGAGCCCAGACCTTGAGCAGGGTGGCCCGTACGGCTGGCAGGCAGCCAAGGACTTACACCTGCTACCCCACAGCTTGTAAAGCCAGCAGGAAATGGGAACGGGAAGCTGACACAGCATTCCCATTCAGGCATCCCGACCTAGGAGCTGGCTGCCCCAGTAACATCCTAACCCTTATGCCAAACAACCGCCCTGCCGTGTGTATACACGAACTGGGATCCTTTGAGCTCTCTGCACTAGAGACGGAGTCCAAACACAGAGACGTGTGGTCATTTTCTCTCAGGGTCCCAGTGCAGAAAAGAGCAGGTCGAATCTGGGCACTCCAACTCCACAGCACGCACAGTATGGCAGCAGCGCCAACAACTCCAGCGTTACACTCATCTGTCTACATCCCTCTGCCTGATGCCATTCAATCCTTCACCATCTCAGCTACTGCCAACCTGCCGATGACTTCTAGAAAGGGACCCTCTCTGATGTTACACCTGGACAGGACACAGCATGGCACAAACACACGGCCTTGCTCTGTCTCCCAGGGCTGTTCTGACCTCACACCGGAGCAGGTCAGGCCCGTGGAAAGGCTAGAGGGCTTCTAAACACCTTCCTCCTCGGGTACCACAAAGTCAGTGTTGGCAAGACCTGTCATTTCCACCCCCAAAAGAAGCCACGCTGCTGTTCCCTCCTCCAAATACAGGTGCACTTCGGTTCACACTGTCACGGGGAGGGGAACATTACTTTTCCAGCAGGGAGCTGTCTCCTCCACCAGTGCCGAGCAATCTTCTGTACTGTTCAGAGAATCACTGTTCCAAAATTAGCTTGGAAACTCCTGGCGTCTCCCTACCATACCAGAAATAACATTTCCTTTTAAACTCCTTTCTTAGCATGCCACGAAAAAGGGACACGAGTGCGTGTGGTCTGCAGCGCCTTCCCCATCACCCCGCTGCACCGGCCCTACTCCTCTGTGAAGCCCAGAGGGTAGCCCGTATTCTCGTACCCTTGTGTCCCTGCTGCCTTTTCTTTCTGCACCAACTGCCATTCATATCCTTGTAAGACCATCTTGAACGTGTGTGTGTGTGTGTGTGAGAGAGAGAGAGAGAGAGAGAGAGAGAGAGAAAGAGAGAAGAGAGAGGGAACGAGCATGCAAGAGTAGCTTTCCCAGATTTCTGTTGAACAGACAGTATCCTACGCTGGACACCACCCCATTCAAGGCTTGGCGACATGGAGCTTCAACACGGTTCCCTTCTCCATCCACCCCAAAGCACGGTTCGCTGAAACTCCTGAGAAAGCTGCTTTGATCTGCACAGACGCCGGGGCGCTCTCACCTTCCAGTCTTTGGGGTCGAGGGTTTTCAGCATGGGGAACTCTTCCAGCTGCGGCTCTTCATCTTCTGATTCCTCTGATAACTCTTTCTTATCCTCCAGTTCCTGAAAAGAGGCAGAAGCATTTCTGTTTCTCCTCTTAACAAAAGCTTCAAACCATCTTCCCACAGGTTCAACCGGACAGAGTGTTGAGGCTGTGATTGAAAGTGTGAAGAGAGGCTTCAATGCATTGCACGGAACACATCTGCTTCAAGACAACAGACTTTCTCAGGAAATAAGAGCAAAAAACACAGTGACTTGAAACCGGGCCATTAAGGCAATGACTCAGACATCCGCGTTACATGGCGACTGGCAAGCAACCACAGTGTCCTAGGGTTTGCGGAAAATTCATTTACTTTCTTCCAAATCAAACATCTGGGTTTACAGTGTATTTAACCATTCACCTTACAAAGCCTGCACCATGTGCACAGTTAAGTCCGTACTTTCCCGAGGCTATGAAAGCAAGACAAAGATAAAGCCACAGAGAATGACACAGTGTTACCAACAGCTGGCCCCGGCAAACAAAATTTCAAATTTCCAATCTCAAGTTGAAACAGCTCTTAAAGTTTTAAGGATTCACTAACAACGATCTCCTTCCTCCTGGACCCAGGTGGTTTTCCAAGCAGCTCAAGGGGCGTGCCCATGTGCTGTAGTGGCACCAGCTCTGGATCCGATGCCCGAGGCCTCAGGTGTGCGTGTGGGTCAGACACACAGTGGCTGACTGTTTTGAAATGACTCAAAGATGCCTTCAACTACAATACGGGCGTTAACTCACTGTGCAACTGCCCACCAGCCATCCAAGAGCTCACCTGCATCAAACTCCTACTGCAAAACAGTGAAGTTTCCTTTCCCACCTAATGGCCAGTGTACTCAAAAGCACACCCACCCACCCCGACCTCCCCAAGTTTGAACTAGGTTGGGAAATGAGGATCTACTCAATCCGAGCACATTCCCGCCTGACTACGTGGGCGTGGCTTTGAAAAGCTGCCTTTAACTCCTTTCCCTCTGGTAAGGGGATCCAGGGGTGCACAGAAACCCCAACCTTCACAGGCACGCTCACCAGAAACCTTCAGGCCTGGGGGTGAAGGCAAACGCTGGACGCTTACAGGGACCCAGGACTGTCCCCCGGGGCTGCAGCCAAGGCAAGCTGCACCTGCCGTGACTCCCTTTCAAACTCTACACGAAGATGGGAAGGGAGGTTTTTCCTCACACCATGCAGAGCCCACACTGCTCGAGCCAAGGGAGTTGGGGGGCAAGGCAGGTGTTTAAATGGGGCTCTGGGTAGCACGGTGGTGGACGAGCCCAGCACGTGGAGGTGTTTGTCTCTGCCCCGAGATCAAGGAGCAGCTCCCAGGGATCTCGCTGGGGACGCCGGAGAATTCGCACCCGCCCAGCCGGCGATCGTGACTGCACCAGGAACACGCCTCTGCCCCCTCTCCCATCACCCTCCACCCAAACTGCAGCGCCAGGGACCACAGGGCTCTCCCGGGCAGCGGGGACGCGGGCGGCTGGGCACGCACCGGAGGTCAGCGCGCGGGTGATGGCGGTGCCCCGGCCCTCGGCGGCACTCGGCAGCAGCAGCATGATGGCGCAGCGGCTCACGTCCCCGGAGCAGGGCGCTCGGCGTCTCCTCCGCGTCTACCTGCTCCCCGCCCGAGCCTCGCGCCTGGGCTCCACGACGCCCACGAACCGGCGCATGGACACGACCGCTAAGCACTTCCGGGATGGCTCCGGCGTGGTGGTGAGCTCACCCCGGCCTGCGTGTGCGGCGGCCTGGGTCCTGCCCTGACTCCCGTCCGGTCAGAGACCGGCGCGCACGGAAAAACGGTTCCTACGCTCATCAGTTCCTCCTGCTACCCTCCCACATAAGGATTATTTTCCTGATCCAGGTGAAATGGGGTTAAGAACTTCGACAAGTAATTCTTTTTTTGAGGGCCTGATTCTTCGTTTGTCAAGCTGAAGCTCATCGCCGAGTTTCCCCTTCGCTCCACTTGTATAAATGGAAAAGAGAAAGCAATGAGCTAGTATTGACAATGACGCGTAAATTCCTATAGAAAAAAATCTCGTGAGTTTGTGTATACTTTGATAATATGACAGCAATTAACAGTCACTGTGTTGTGATTCATGAAGCCATATCCTCTCTTATAATACTCATCTGGAGAAAAAGCTGCCTTTATTTATTTTTATTGGAAAGGCAGATATACAGAGAGGAGGAGAGACAGAGAAGAACATTTTGCATCTGCTGGTTCACTCCCCAAGTAGCCACAATGGCCAGAGCTAAACTGATCCGAAGCCAGGAGCCTCTTCTGGGTTTCCCACATGGGTGCAGGGTCCCAACGCTTTGGGCTACCCTAGCATGCTTTCCTAGGCCACAAGCAGGGAGCTGGATGGGAAGTGGAGCAGCTGGGATTAGAACCCGTGCCATATGGGATCCCTGCAGCAGATGCAAAGCAGAGGATTTAGCCACTAGGCTACTGTGTTGGGCCCAAAATTTCTTGTTAGATTATAGCCCTAGGCCAGCCACGTTTTACCCTATAAGTGATTGGAATTTTTTTTTTTCGAGATTTTTGGAATTCTAGTACTCTGGAATTTAGTTAATTGTTTATCATATAGTAAGCTAAAGGGTGTTCGGTGTATTCTTACTGAGTACATTTTTTTTTTTTTAAAGGATTGATCACAGAAGGCAAAACCAGCTCAGGAAACCAGAGGAAGCAGGCTCATCCCCAGTGATCTCTGGAACAGATGGGGCAAAACAGACTTTGTGTGTCGTCTTCTGCAAGGAGCACCAGAAATGAACACATTACTGCCTCTGCTTATGTTTTCATACATTAATTTCCTGCCTACCGCAGGACACAACTGCCCCTGGGAGCTCTCCACCTCACCCAGCCACCTGCTTAAAAAGGAACTCTGCTTAAGTGTTTAAACCGAATAAATTGGCCTGCTTTCAAACCCCTCCCCGTTCTACGCCCCCTTTTCTGTCCCCTCCAAAATCAAGCCTTCTCTGCCTGGCAAACCTCTTCTCCTTCGGACCCTAAAATCCGAAAACCCAAACATCCACGGACAAGGCTTTCTTTTTGCCACACGTTCACCCACACGTTTCTCCTGTTATTGTTTAGCATTCACCCTAACGGATATCAGCCCGTATCTAATTGGTTTTGATTCGTCTTGGCCCAAGGGAGGTGGGGTCATTTGTTCATCTTCTTTGGGGTCAACAGCTTTGAGGTCCCACTTTAATTCTTGAGTTTTCCACTATTCCAGGCGCAACTTCCCTAGCAGGACCACTGGTCACCTACACAGCCGTGTGAGATGGAGATAACAATCCGTCTATGCCGAGTGAGTCGTTTGCGTTTGCTGCTCAGGGAGTCCCCAGGGACCCGATCCCGGCATAGACACATTACACCGGCAAACTCTTCCCTTACACACCGGACGTCCGCCGGCCCCGCTTCCGCCTTGGGCGCCGAGGAAAGCGGTCCCCGCACCGCTCCACTTCCGGTCGGGAAGCGAGACGGAGAGCGCCGCCGGAAGCGGGCAAGTACGTGCTGTGTAATCTCGTTTGGAACCGAGGCCTCCCGGATCTCCCGAAAATGCCGGATTATCTCGGGGCCGACCAGCGCAAGACCAAAGAAGACGAGAAAGACGACAAGCCCATCCGAGGTGAGTCGGGGCCCGGCGTGGGTTTCGTCCCGGGCGGCCTTCTCTCGGCCTTCCTCCTCCCCGTCCCAAGGTTGCAGCCGAGGCAAATGGCTGTTCCTGCTCGGCCCTCGGACCTTCCCGTCTCCGCTCTCGGCCTTTTGGGGCCTGGGGAAGCTCACCCGACCCCCCTGGCCCTGGGTCTGACTGCCTCCTGGACCCGAACACCAGACGCTGCTCAGCCCTGCTCGTCCTCCTCCGCCACCACCTGCCCCCACTGTCAACCCCTCACGCCGGGGCTTCTCTCCCTACAAATCTGTTAAAAATGATGCATGGGAGCCCGGATTCCCTGCTCTGGATAGCCCTGAGTGTTGCGGGTTGCTAATTTTCCCCCCCTCTCTCCACCTGTTGCTGTCCTGTCCTGTGGTGGAGCGTGTTGGCGTTCCGCCACGTTCCGTTCTCCCAGCGAACCTTTCCTGTTTATCCTTCGCTTTTTCTCTGCCCTGTGTCGTGCCCTCGTGTTCTTTCTCTAAGGTTTATTTATTTATTTTTGCTGCTTTCAACCGTTGTCATTCCCGCATCAGTCCGTTCGTTTTGTCTTTGAGTTGTCACCTGAGCTCTAAAGCCGGATTCACCTGTGCTGTTATTATTACTGTTTTTTTTTTTTTTTTTAAAGATTTATTTGCAAGGCTGAGTTGCAGAAAGAGGGAGGAGAGACAGAATCTTCCATGCTCTGGCGGATTCCCCAGGTGGCTGCAGAGGCGGGGAGCGGGCAGGGTGAACCCAGGAGTCGGGGAGCTGTTGTGCGTCTCCCCTGTGTGTGCAGGGGGCTGGCCCAGGTGCTCCTGCTTCCCCACTAGCAGGGAGCTGGATCGCAGTTGGAGCCGCCGGAACTCAAACCAGAACCCATAGGGCATGCTGCAGGGAGAGGCTTAGGCTGCGTGCCAGCCCCCCAGTACCATCCTGTGTATTTGAAAGACACCTCTCCTGTGCTGGTTCGCCCCTCGGGTGCCTGTGGCAGCCGGGGTAGCAGGAGCTGAGAACTCCGTGGGGGTCTCTTTGTCTTTCAGATATAAGGGAAATACTAAAAAAAAAAAAAAACAAAAAAAAAACATTTTGTGTGAAAGCAAGTCATGTTTTTTTTTAAGGTGATATTTCTTGGCTCGCTTCCTGTAAATACCATTGGTGATTTTTTTTTAATGGTTACGTTGTGTATTCGCTTCTGTGAATCTAGCTAATTTGGCTAATTTGTTTTAACCAAATGTCCTTAATGGATGGACACTTTATATTGCATATAAAGTATACAATACGCTTAAAAGCACCTTCCCTCAATTAGATACAAGTTCCTTGACTTAAGGAAGTATTTTTTAAAATAAGAATTATTTTATTATTTTTATTGTCTGCTGATTCACTTCCCAAGCGGCCACGATGGCTGGAGCTGAGCTGATCCAGAGCCAGGAGCCTCTTCCGGGTCTCCCACGCGGGTGCCAGGGTCCCAAGGCTTTGGGCCATCGTCGCCTGCTTTCCCGGGCCACAGGCAGGGAGCTGGATGGGAAGTGGAGCAGCTGGGATTAGAACTGGCGCCCTGCGAGTGCGAGGTGGGGGACTTTAACCACTAGGCTAAAGCGCCGGGTCCTTAAGGAAATATTTGATGATTGTATTTATATCATTGTAATATTCTGGCAGTCGTCTAAAACCATTTGAATTGAACAGAAACATGTATCGGCTTCCCTTCCTTTGTGGATCTCACGTGTGATTTTTCTTTCAGCCCTGGATGAAGGGGACATTGCCTTGCTGAAAACCTATGTAAGTTCTATCCGTGTCTGGAAAACAGATTTTTTGTGGTGGTGGTGGGGGGGCGGGTTGGGGAGGCCGTTTGATATTATCCTTACAATTAGTTCAAAATGAAGTGTGTGGCAGTCTGTGGCAACCTTCCCTGGAGAAAAAAAAAATCCCCGTTTACGGTCTCAGTTGGTCAGTAAGGCGCCGAGCACGGCTGCGTTTTTCCAGGGTTTTTCGAAGACCTGTAATTGAAGCGCAGCGCCCTGCCGGAGCAGGATCCGCAGAGCTGACACCTGTGTGCGCTGCCTCTAGAGTGGACGCAGCTGGGCGTAGTGCAGGACGCGGGGTTTTAACGCACAGAAGCACATGTGTCCTTCCCTGTGTCTTTGGGAACGGTGGGAAGCCAGGCCGGGGCGCAGGAAGGGCTGTGTCTGAGCGGCCGACGCCCTCCTGACTCAGTCCATCTCCGTCCCGCAGGGTCAGAGCACTTACTCAAGGCAGATCAAACAGGTCGAAGATGACATCCAGCAGCTTCTCAAGAAAATTAACGAGCTCACCGGTACGTGTTGTGATTTCCGTGTCCATCCTTTACCCGTCCTATGCCGCGTGTATCAGAAGACTTTAAATTTTATGTCTTACTGCGTTGTAAAAGAAATGTTAGATTGAATCTCATTTAGCCCTTCTCATTACTTTTTATACCCCATTTAACGCTTGTACAATCTCGAGGCCCCCTCCTCCTAAGGAAGGAGCGTGTGTTGGTCAGTAAATACCAAGTTAGAGTTTTTAATTGCATACAATCTTGCTCTCAGCATAGCACTGCTTGAAGCAAGCGGGCTGTTGGCCGATAGTTGGCGACAGTGTGCAGTTCTGTAGTGTGTGACTCACACGGAAGATGTCAAATATGTTCAGATATTAGCTTGATAAGTCTTAGGGCCGCGATGTTCGGCCTGAGCGATTTCGCCGCTCTGGACGACTTTGGGGGGATGTCCAGAGAGGCTTCTGATCCTCATTGCTCGAGAGAGAGCGTGGTCCTGGTGGCCAGAGGCCAGGCACACTGCGGCCTGGCAGTGCTGTCGGTGCCCAGCCCCGGGGAGCACCGACTCCGGAGCGGCGGTGGTCTGGGGCTGAGAGGGTCGTCCGGAGGGTGTGCGCCATGCCTCACTGTCTGTCTCTCCCGTCCGTCTCTGTAGGCATCAAGGAGTCCGACACTGGCCTGGCCCCGCCAGCGCTGTGGGATTTGGCTGCGGACAAGCAGACGCTCCAGAGCGAGCAGCCTCTGCAGGTTGCCAGGTAAGCCCCAGTGCTTGGGGGGCCTTTTCATTGTT